AAAAAAAAAAAAAAAAAAAAATAGATAGCTAACTCAGAAGAATTTATAAAATGATTTGATTATGAAAGGCAGCTACCATCATATACACAGAACTTGAAGATGCTTTAGCACTAGTACAGTGAGTAAATTTAAACCTTAAGGAAAGGCAAAAAGGGAACTAGAAAAACAGCAGCAAAGAGAGGGTTTAATCTTTACTTGAGAATGCAAGTATTACAGGACATAGTCATCATTACCAAGGGGTTGAAATGGTGTCCTTGAAACAGGAGAAAGAGAACGTATAACTTCAGGAGGAAAATATATTTGGCAAGTTAAAGGAGTAAATGAAAGTTTCTGTGTTCCATGTATCAACGTGATCTAAACTGTGAACTTTGAAGAAGAAAACCAAATTATACCCTGATGCTTTGAATTTCTGTTGAGAAAGATAAAAAACCATCTGAACAGAGACATCCACAGAACAAAGTAGAAGCAAATTAGCAACCACCTCATTTTCTTGTGCATTTCATTACTACAGCTTTCTACTGAGACTTTAACATGTTTTAGGTATGACATGATTTTTTATGGTAAAATTCACATAATAGGAAATTCACCACTGTAACCATTTTCAAGTACACAATCAATGACATTTAGTATACTCACAATGGTGTGCAACACTCACCACTGTCTAGCCCTGGGACACCTTCATCCCTGCAATGGTGTCACTTTAGTAAGTTATTTTTCCATAATGTTATGCTTCCCCTTCCCATGTGGACCACCTACCAGGCTGTGAACTTGTCTTCTGCTTCTGAACCTTTTCCTTTTTAAATTTTGGCACTATGCGAAATACTGTGCTCCTGCTGTTTCTTTTGGTGCAATCCATAGGAGGCTCCTGTTCAAATCAAGCAAGACAAGAATTTTTTTCAGGATATTAAGAGAAGGAAAAACCCACTCTGATAATATAGAGATGAAATACGGATAGGTTATAAACACTAATCATTCTAGAACAGTTTTAACTTCTTCAAAAAAAAGTTCATGATGTACTACCAGAAATGTACCAATTCCCATAAAATGTCTTTGTTCACGTAAACACCTTTTCTTACTTGCTCAAGAACAGTATATTTGAAAGTAGTATTCAAAATGCATTTTTCCCTAAATATCTCTTTTTCAAAGATGAGTTCAAATTCTATGGTGATAAGGCGTACATTTCCAAAGAAACAGGTTGAATTTATATACCTCATCCTCATTTGGGTGTAAGATATAGTAAAGCCAAGGAATCTCTGTTAACTTCTGTAACTCCACCTCCACCGAGTGTAAGGCATCAGACACCCGCTCTTCATGCGGAGATTCCAACTGCTACTCACCAGCAGATTAAAAAACAAAACAAAACAAGACTCAGTAACAAACCTCAAATAGAATAAGTTATTTTATTTTGACAGTGAACATCCTTACCTCTTATTAGGCTAGTATTTTTCAAATTAAGGAATTTTTTTAAAGTAACATTCCTTTATATTTTTAAAAATCTGGATAGATCTAATCTAATCCTTACTTCCCAAAGATTATATAAGTAGCTAGTGAGACTTTACTAACTTCACAGAAGTATTGCTTTTGGTGTTTCTTCTATGTAAACCCCTTCCTTTCCTCCTTCCAAGCATCTGTCTGTTCATTCTCATTTGCGCAAGTGAGTAGTCTCATTATTCTACTTGTGCCAAAATTCCTTCCTACATACATAAGTTACCAGGTGAACAAATAATATTTCTTAAATTGGCCAAAAACTTGTCATATAAAAAGAACTGCAGAAAAATCTCCTTGAGAATTTAAAGGGTAAGTTTAAGGAAAAAAACCCCATGAATCTCAGAAAAATTTGTGATGAAAAACTGTTGTAAAAATCAGGACAAAGCAAAAAGCTAAAAGGTTTGTCATCTGGAATAGGTTTTGGATACTTTAAAGAGAATTTAACTGGTCACCTGTTATATACATTAACCCATTTGAAGCAGTTATTAAAATATATTTACATGTTTAATGCATGAATAAAGGTGAAATAAACCCTGTTATGAACAGAATTGGAAAGCAGTCGACTGGATTATAGTCTTGGCCTTGTGACTGACTATGCAACTAAGGGAAGGTTAATTGATTTCAGGAGACTTCGTTTCCTCCTCCAGAAATAGCACATTGTGACTAGATTATTTCTGAA